TTTGGAACGACATGAAGGTGAGTAATTAATGACAGAATTTTCATTTTTGGGTGAACTATCCCTTTAATGCCTTAGGTAACTAACAATATACAACTATTTTTACAGCATTTATTAATCTAGGCTAATGTTAATGTCCTGTTGTTCATTGTTTATGTTCAGTGTTGATTTAAAACACTTTAAAATGTTTTAAATCTTTAAAACTCGTGGTTAGTAATCCGACATATACAGCGCAACGGTGTTCACGCCACGGCGACCCGAGTTCGATTCCCGTCTTGAGGTCCAATGCCGGTCCCGCTCCCTTCTCTCTACCCAATACTTTTCTGTCATCTCTCCACTGTCCTGACTGAATAATAAAAGAATAAAAAGCCCAAAAATATAACAAAAAAAGAAGAAAATATTATACAAGAGTAAAAGCACTGTTCATTGTTATTTCTGCTATTGCAGTAGCTAATGTAAGCATATAGACCCATTCAAAAGTTTGGTGTCAGTAAGATATTTATTCACTTTTATTCAAAAGTGACAGTTAAGACATTTATAATGTCACAAAAGATTTCTAATTCAAATAAATGTTGTTCTTTTCCAATTTAGTCAAACAGTCCTGAAAAATCATGGTTTCCACAAAAATATTAAGCAACACAACTGTTTTCAACATTAATAATAAGAAGAAATCCTTCATATGCATCAAATCAGCATATTACAATGATTTCTGAAGGGTCTTGTGACACTGAAAATTCAGCTTTACGCCACAAGAATGAATTACATTTTAAAATATATTAAAATAGAAAACAATTAGTTTCATTTGTTACATCATTTCACAATATTAAGGTCTTTACTGTATTTTTGATCAAATAAATGCAGCCTTGATGAGCATTAGAGACTTAATTAGAAACATATTTAAAAATCTTACCGACCACAAACATTATAAAAAGTGCTTTGTAAAGAGTTACTAGTGAAGTTTTCTTGATAAATGTTTGCAAGATGCTAGATGTAAATTTGCCTGACTGAATCAAAGCATTTATGCCTTATTGGGTCACAGAAACAGAAGGGAACAATAAAAAGATACAGCGCTGACAAACTGCACACAAGTGTCTAAACTTTCTGAATTATTGATTATCCAGGTCACAAAAAAGAAATGGATTCCTTTATAGTCAGCATAGAGAGTCGATATGACTCGATATAGAGAGTATTCATACACACCTGGATAATTTCTATTTCAGTGACCTGCGGGAGAACAATAAAGTGAGCTGACCTACTTCCTGTCAACCTGCAAATTGTTTGTCTCACGCAGAAATTCAAAACGTAAAAAAAGTACAAGACTCATTCACCCCAAAGGCCACGCTCTCAACTCCCTTTCTTAGCCTTCCACACACACGTCACTTTGACAGCGTGCTTTGGCACCCCTGCAGATATAAATGGCCCAATTGTGAAATCACAGGCTCTACACGACCCAGTGAATCAAGCTAGAAAGTGAACAACTCAGGAGGGAGTTTCTGACCGAATAAGGTGCACATATTAAACTCAGACACTACAAGCGACACATTCAGCAATAAAAGCATACTGACTTTCAAAGGAACAAAACATATAAACAAAAACCCACTACTGAGCAACACGCTATTGATTTCTGAATCTTCAGCTTCCAAAGCATTTCATTTCAGATATGAATTATGTCTCCTCAGTGAGAATTGACTAAATCGCCAGAGAGAAATTTGCAAACAAATCGACCCGAACACCCTTGCAGGCCTTACTGAGGTGCAGGCAGTGCTTTTCAGTGAATCTCAGTTTGTAGAATGCACATTCATTCTAAACTTTCCATTTCCCAGGGTCCACTAGGTTCTCAGTGTTGTTATTGCCACTTCAGACTTTTTGTTTTCCAAAGGTGCCATCTGACATCTATAGGGCATTCTGGTGCAGTGTTGACTGAGGTGAGTGAACTCATGCGTAGTGTCTTTAAAGGTCACTGGCCAAAGAAAACAATTCCTGAGCAACAAGGTGAACAACAGGGGAGAGACTGTAGGATATTATAATGTTACAATTAATACTTTTCACACTTCAAATGCTTTTGATTTCCATTAAATAACTGCAGTTTTAGACCTTTCTGTAAAAAACTATAGCTTTTAAATAAATAAATAAAAATGATAAATAAAAATAAAATAAAATAAATTAATAAAAATAACAATGCTTACACAAGATGCAAAGCACTTTGCATTCATTTTGGGTGTGCATTAATTATAATATCTTGTCATGTCTGTTAATTAATCCGAATCAAGAACACAACAATGCTGTAAATAAGTAACAAAAAAAAATATTTCAATATGAATTCATTTAAATTGCTTCTAATCAGCATAAATCTGTTATTTGTAAAAACAAAACTGAATATGGCACAAATATAGCCAGCTGTGGAGCAATTCAAATTAATTTAGTTAGAATGTATGAGATTGAAACAAACTGAATTTATTGATACCTAAATAATATATAAATATATAAACCAGGTTTAATATATAATTATTGCATATTAAAAGTTACTGCATATTTAAAAACACATTCAGTTTATTGGTACCATTACATAAATCTCATTCTTGACTGTAAAATATGCATCACATTAAGTTTATTAGTTAAATTAATGTTAAAACAACGTAATCCAAATGAATGGATTGTTTTAAATATCTTTTTAAATGTATAAACGCTCAACAGATCACCAGTTTAATGTACACTCAATATGAATTTATATGAAAATATATTAAATGAAACTTCAATAACATTTCTAACTTCTTAAAGTACTAATTGTAATTTAAGTAAGGGTTTCAAAATCAAATTTTAACCTTGAAACCAAATATTGTTGTTTTAAACTATTTAACCAAATAAATAATGACAAAAACAAAGGATTTTTTTAAAGTTTTATTCCACACTATTTCTAGGTCACTAATCAAATAAACAAATTACTAGTGATGTTAAGCATTTAAATTACATTCTAAAAAAAAAAGGATTAAATGCAAAATAGAGGCATTTTGTGGGTCTCAGACCTTTGACCTAATCTGACATTAAATACTGATCTGATCTTAAAACATTGTATTATCAATAAAGAAAAGAGTGATGCGAGAGACATTAAACTAGCAGCGCTATGTAGGAAATCTGCCAAATATACACTTTAATGGTCATTATGTAAATTCAGCAATCAACCAGAATTGATCTGAGTGAAATATTCCAGAATGTCCTAATGTCTGCTAATGTTGTTCCTATAGATTATTAGTGTTTCCTAATATGATATACTGTGTGAAGTTCTAAGAAAGCAAAGTAATGTCAGCATTCGGTGTCAAAGCCACAAGCTTTATCAAACACTCATGGGTCTTTTCCCTCTCACGATATCATCGATTTGTTCGGCTGACAGCGGAGCCCAGGGAATTTGTATTTAGTTTAGCAGTAAACCCATTCAGCTGGCACAGCAAACGATGCCTGGACAGTGGACAGCCATTTGTTTTAATGTGAGAGTGAGTGAGTGGCCGATGGCTCTGTGTGTGAGAAGCAGCAGTGTCACAGAGGACGATCGACCGCCCCATCCCGTCCCTCCTCTCCCCCCGCCCCGCACAGCACCGTGCCATGTGCCAGTTCAGCACCTGTGAGTGAGTCGGCACATCTGACATCATCAGCGGCCTCGTTTCCAAATCCATTCACGGCCTGACTGATTGTGGGCCGCTTTCAGGATGGCCGAATGTACTGACCTTTAGAAAACACAGTTTTCACAGCAGGAAGTGTGAAGGGGAAGTTTACATGAACACTGAATGTTCTGCAGCTGCCACGTTTGAGATGGAAAAGTTGGGTCACAGTATGGTTAAGAAAAAGTGGGTTAGCCCTAATTTAATCAGGATAATAATTATGAATTACAAAACAGACCCTAGAGGGATAACTTGTAAATAAATAAATAAAATAAATTGAAAGTGCTAAAGGTACATATTTAATGTGACACTAGCTTCAGATAGCAAAATTGCAAAAAAAATAAAAATAAAGTATCAGAAGCCAACAGAGGCCACAGTACAGTCCTTCATTCACTTTAAAAGATATGATTTATAATAGATTAAAATACACATTTCAAAGAACATTTATAAATTAATAAGAGTTAAATACTATATACAATTTTTTTTTTAAACATAACATAATAATAATAATAATAATAAATGTTAATATGAAATAATATTTGAACATATTTTTTGCTTTTTTTTTGTTTTGTTTCTTATTTAACCTGTTTTCTCAAGGTTTTAAAATAGAGACAACACAATAACAACAACAACAATAATTACTATTATCAATAATAATAATAGTAACAACAACAACAATAATAATAATAATAATAATTATTATTATTATTATTATTATATGCTATTATTAAATAATATTTGAACATATTTTTTGCTTTTGTTCTATTTTTATTTTTGTTTTTAGATATTTTTTAGCCTGTTTTCTCACAGTTTTAAAATTGAGACAACAACAATAATTAATATTATTATCAATAATAATAATAAAGCCTAATTTTTATGTTTTATTTGATAAACTGTTTTCTCATGGTTTTACAAAAAGTATAGCAGTCAAAATTTGAAGTGGATCAAAAAAGTTGTCCTAGGACAAGAACGCATTTTGGTTTGAGGTCTTAGGACAACTTTGATGAAAGGTTTTGATCCACTTCAAATGTTGACTACTGTAGTTTAATTTTTAGTTAGATTGTTTTGTATTTTTTGTTAATAGCTTGTTTTCTTAAGTTTTTTTTTTTTTAAATGAACAATACAAAAATCATGGCCTTTATGCAGCTCCAGGTTTGGAACCAGCCATTATTCTTGTTTGGAAACGCTAGTATTTTGAACCTTTTAGTTTACTTTAGTTTTACGGTCCACAAAGTGAAAATTTGTCACGACTTCACCATACAATATAAACAAAACATAAAACATCAAACCAAAAGTTGCAATAGCTTTTTTTACGCCCATCAACAACATCCACGTCGAGTCACAGCTCACCTGTAGGCATGATGCGATGCATGGCCACCGACAGGAAGAAGATGGCGTCGCTATAGTACGCGCCGGAACCTGCACTGAAGTGTTTCTGCATAGCCTCTACGATGGGGAACAATTTCTCCGTAAGGGCACCTACATCGTGAAACACCACCTGGAACAGACAATAGACAATATCGGTGTTAAACAAGGGCATTTTTGTGACCCTAGTGACACTGACACGACATATTTGCAGATTTGTGCGTGAGTGGACAGGAGTGGGCTGTATTTCTACCCTTCGCTCGTGATTTTATCCTCAGGTGTTCGTAGTTTGGCTCACTGAACCTTGACAGTCGTCTTTTACTGTTCCATCCATTGAAAACACACAATACCTGTGTTTGTCCACAGTGCAATCGGCCCCCTAATCCAGCTCTGCAATGCAAGGCTTTGGCGTTGACTCAACTCATGCAATCAGATAATGTGTATCTCTCGCTAGGTTGCACAAAGAGGATTGATGAAGGGGGTTCAGTCATCACAGATTTCCCATTAAGGTTTTGATTCCAAGGGTAATATATGTTTCTGCCATAGGATTAGAATTCCACCTTCAGTCTGGCGAAACAAAAGCACTAATTCAGCACAAGCTCAAGGAACACAGTTGATATTGTAACAAAGTTTTGTCTCATTCTTGTGGAGTGCAAAAGTTCAGTTAAACAAGTATTTGTTGGATGTAAAGGCAGATTTCCTTCAAACACACAAGAGTTTCTTCACCCTTTATCTTTGGGCTCAGAAAATTCAGAAAAAATACAATTGAAATTTTAATTGACATACAAAATGTGCTTCTCTTTTCACCTTCAATAGGTATGATCAAATGTAATAAAACATCATTTATATTTACTGTCCTGAAAACTCAAATTCCACATAAAAGTAAAGAATTTGAATTTTCCATCTAAAAGTATTGGGGAAAATATCAATATTTCATTTCATTGGAAGTAGACTGAAAATTTGATCAAGCTGAATAAAGGAATTGCCAAGTGAAGTGAACTTTGCAATGGCAAAGTCATCGGTTTTATTCCCAGGGAATGCATGAATTATTAACACAGAATATCATTCAAAAGATTTTTTTTAAGAAATGAATACTTTTACTCAGCAAAGATGTGAAATTGATCAAAAATGGCAGTAAAAACATTTATAATATTACTAAATATTTATTTTTCAAATAAATGATGTTCCTTTGAACTATATTAAATCACAGAATCCTCAGTGTTCACAACGTATTAAGTTTTAAGTTTTTAACATTGATGATTTTTGAAGAATCATGAAGACAGGAGTTAAGATGCTGAAAATCCAGCTTTGCCATCACAAATATACATTACATTTTAAAATATATTTAAGTACAAAACAGTTATTTTAAATTAAAATGATATTTCACAATACTACTGTTTTTTACTGTATTTTTGCACACATAAATACAGCCTTTGTGAGTATAAAACTCTTTAATTAAAAAAAAAAACCTTACCAACCCCAAACTTTTAAAAGAAAATTTACCTCAAAATGCAATGCAAGTTGCCTTTGATAAAAAAAGTGCCTGATGATGGCAAAATGTATGTGACCCTGGACCACAAAACCAGTCATAAGGGTCAATTTTTGATATATTTATGGTAGGAAATTTACAAAATATCTTCATGGAACATGATCTTTACTTAATATCCTAATGATTTTTGGCATAAAAGAAAAATCAATAATTTTGACCCATACAATGTATTTTTGGCTATTGCTACAAATATACCCCAGTGACTTAAGACTGGTTTTGTGGTCCAGGGTCACATATGTAAATACATTCCTCGCTCAGTGTGTTCCCACTGCATAGAAACCCCATGAATTGGAAAGTACCTCATCAAAAATAGTCAAGCATCAAAATAAAAAAAAATCTGCTGCAAAAATATCAAGTTTGGGAGCAATCCATTAAATATTTCATCACAGTCTATTTGTGATATCGCCTTGAATTTTTTATAAGCGAAGTGCTTTAAAGCCACTAGTAAATAATGCAGAAGCAGTTAGAAATAACAGAGGAAACAAAACTCCATTTTGCTCATAAGAACTTCAAAGAGAACAGAACACTCGTTTGAGTTCCAATGAAGCTGTCATTTCACTTCAAAAGAACGAATAAATAGGAAAAAAACAAGCAGTAGGTTCATTTTATAGATGGAGTAACTGCAGGGACCGGCTAACTCTTCCAGGAATTCACATGAGTTTAAGAGCGTAGCCGCATACAGAGCTCAGTGTAATCTCTATTATGAGCACATGAAGTGCTGTGTAATATTAAATTAAAGGATTCTGACAGTGTTAATGCCCATGGGGATGCGGAGCTGGTCATTTTATGTGCTTCTGACTTTCCAAATAGTTCTGAAGGTGTGAAGGTCTATAATAAAGTGAGTGTACTTATATGAGACTGGATGCTTGCCTAAGTATTACTGACAATCTGAATATTCCGTGTGAAAATTATAACAACATAGTCATTGAGAATATGATCGCCTTACTAGACTAAAAACACCATGTTACAGTCAGGGTATCTTAATATGGTCATTTCATTTAATATATACCATTGTACTAAATGATCAGTATAATCATGGTACAGACTACCATGATACTACTATGGAAAATGTCCAAAAAACATCGTTTTTTGAACAAAGAAACAGGCTCTTTCAAAAGTAGTTTAGTGTAGCCACATCATATGCAATACGTGACCATCATCTGCCTTTATCTGCCAGTACTTTAAAACTGCAACACAGAGATGTCAAAGACTGAAATGCTCAAATCATCAACCTTTCAGACGCTTCATTCAGTTCCTCAAAGAATGACACATAATGACCCCCAGCAGCAGCTGAAGGAGCCGTCATCCTTTTTCCTGAGAACACATGTCTGATGAGCTCACTCTGGTTTCATCTCATGTCATGAGACTGTGTGGGAGTCTGTGAGCCCACATTATAGTGGAACTTTCCACACACTCTATGTCTGTGCGCTACAGTTTGGAGAGCGAGACTATATCCATATAGTTTAGTATATAGCCCACAGACAAAGACAGTCTGCCCTAATAACCACACGCCAACCCAAACACATGATAACAATACTACTACTATTATTATAATATATATATATATATATATATAATATAATATCATATAATATACAGTTGGCCTAATATTAATATCTAAATAATAATAATATTGAAGTCGGCACACATTGTGTATATCTCCTCATACCTATATTTAATGTAGTCTGTCATATTTTCTTTTATCTTGTGTAGTTTTGTTTATGTTTTTCAAGGATTTCATGCTGCACGAAACCTGTCCATGCTGACATCTGTCTAATTTGACTAGCTTAAACTAAATAACAGATGAATTCACAAAATATTGTACTGTTTGTTTGGATCCTGTCACACTTAAAAGATTCAGATCATCAAACTAATTTTAATATTACACAAAGATAACCCGAGTAAATACAAAATACAGTTTTGAAATAATGATTTCCTTTATTAAGGGAAAAAGCTGTCCAAACCTGCCTGGCACTACATTAAAAAGTAATTGCCCCCTAAATCTAATGACTGGTTGTGCCACCCTTTGCAGCAACAACTGCAATCAAGCGTTTGTGATAACTAGGAATGAGTCATTCACATCGCTGGGGAGGCCCACTCTTCGTTGCGGAATGGTTTTAATTCAGCCACACTGGAGGGTTTTCGAGCATGAATGGACTGGGTAAGGTCATGCCACAGCATCTCAATCGGATTTAAGTCCGGACTTTGACTTGGCCACTCCAAAACCTTAATTTTGTTTTTCTTGAGCCATTCAGAGGTGGACTTGCTGGTGTGTTT